TTATGCTGTGCTCTGAACTGGTAAGATAGACCTGCCGCTTGCTGTGCTGGGAGTGGAAATGGAGCTACCAAAGAAAAGGGCAACAAACACGATGGTACTTCATACTTCATGGCATGAGAGATCGGTTCTATGCACCAGGAACTGGAGGACGCATCTACCTTGGCCCATTCACAGGATACTAGAGTCAGCTCATGTTCATAGCAAATTCTTTGAGACGATTTCAACGGGGGTGATAGAAAAGCAAGCTTCTCCCATCACATCTGGCACCAGTGCTCCATGTCACACGTATCAAAATTTCTCTGTTACTGCAAGTACTTGACTTACTTGTGAGAATCGATTTTCTGGACTTGCTACAGTGTCCTGCTTTCATGGCTACGTCTTCTGGTCGAGCTGATTGGCCAGAAAGAAACTCGTCTGCTGGAGTGACCTACAGGCCATGCCCTTCTGTATCTGCAAAGAAGAGGATAGACTGTCATGCCTGTCCTGGAGCCACATCAGTTACACCTGGCAGAACAGCACAGGCAGTTGTCACCATACCACAGCCACTCCCAGCGGTGGCATCCCAGCAATGATGCCCAGTGAGGGCACCACAATCATCAGTGATGCTGCGCACGGTTGTCACTGGAACGATCTCTGAACAATTTTCAGCATCAGCACTGTTCTCTATTGATGGTGGCTCACACATTACTGCAAACCTGGTTACCCCTGCAGCACAAGCTGTTGAACTCAGGTATACTGATAATAATTAATACTTGTCGGCCTTGGCACAGCATCTGGCAGAAGTGACTCTCCAAAAAGGATCTATGAAACGTAGTAAGAGTAGCAAGCATCAGGGACATCTGCTATGGCACCCTATCTACCCTGCCTTCTCTTCATAAACAAACTGGAGTGACACATGGGGTGCAGTACCTTCTTTGCCTGCTTCGCAGTCACTATTTTGATATTAAAGACCAAGTTTTCCACCTAGCTGCTTAAAAAGATTTAACAACTCCTGTAACACTTGCACAAAAAAATTCTTTGCGCACAACTGGATCTAGTCTAAGTCTCCGGGTCCACCACGTCTCTCCAGATCCTGTGCCTCTACATTACCCTTTTCATTTGATTAGCATGTGATATAAATGGATTTATCACTGCTCCCTTATGTCACTTGTCAGTGACAAACTACATATGTGGAAACACACACACTCACCTCTTAGGTAACTGCTGAGCAACCAACCCAGACTCCTGTTCTGATGGTGCTGAATTATTATTTTGTGTGGTCACTTGGGTGGTGGTTTTGGGACCGTCCTGACAGGTCTGAAGCTCTGTCTCACTAATGGATAGAGTGAGATTCTCATTATCTTGTGACTGGTCTGCAGTAAGCACAAACAACACTGGATGTGTGAGTAAAAGAGGGAAATACCTAGATACTTTTTTGGAAGGCATCTGGAGGCTCGAATGTTCAGCTGTCAATATTGGAATGACATCTACCATTTCTCAGCTGGTGTGGTTTCTTTAAAATTTGGTCCTGATCTGTGTTTTAATTTGAAGAACAATTAAACTTTATACACAAATAAAAAGCAGATCATATATTAGAGAATCTCTATTGGATTTCTAAGCAGGCTAGAAAGTACATAAACACCTTTAGTGTAGACTGCTTTTCTTACATGATTATTTTGTTCCCTGTCTAAGCAGGACATGGAAATATGTGATGCACCTTCAACCAAACACATTTTTTGGGGGGGAAAAAAGAGAAAAAAAAAGAAAATTGAAATCCTACCTTAAGTAAATCCACTCTCATATCTTGGTCCCTTGTGAAGAGCAGTGGCTGTGAAATAGTCCAGAGACATCAGCATTCAAACCCCTCTGAAATAAATGCAGGCAGCTCACCTCACACTGACAGGTTGCTCTCGTGGTTGCACTAGTTTTAAACCAACAGTATTGACTTCAAAGCAAGATTTAACCTGATCTACACTTGCATGAGTGATAGATCAAACCCATTTTTAGTTCAACAGCTTGGGCAGTTCAGATTCGGTTCAGCTTAGAAACTTAGCACCATCAGTAGGAAACCTATATTTGAAAAGGAAAGATTAAAGTCTGCAGGAGCTGATGAGGATACCAGGAAAAGCAGGCAGAGTGAGGCAATGCCTAAAAAGCCAACTGTTACCCTTCAAGTCCTCTGCAGCTGCCAGCGTGCTTTCCCCTAGACCCAGAGGACCGAAACTAGCAGAACAGAGAGAACAATATAAAGAGGCAGAAGTGGATGGGGGAACCACCTTGACAAGTTAGATAAGCTCAGGAAATGAAGGCTTTCTGAAAGATGAGGTGGGATAAAGGTACAGGAAAGGGCAAACAATTCAGACACTCTGTCAAACAGACAGGTCTTGAGTCTTCCCATAGCATGAAGGTCAATCAAGATTTTATGTAAGATAACAAGATGCTGGAATTACAGCTTGCCAACAAAAAGTTAGTGTATTCATACTTACATTTCCACTGGATTAAAATATGACAACTTAAGCAATTTTTATTTATTGAAGGCAGTTCCTCTTCAAAGCCTTCTAAAACAATTACAGAGAACTATATCTCCCGAGAACATGCATGCCTGAAGATGGAGTATATTTCTAGGAAATATGTGATCCTTATGCTAGATGTGCTAATTCCCTAATAAGTACTCCATCATTTTTTTTTTCTTAAGCTAGCTAAAATAGAGTCTCCAAGTGCTGATCAACTCTAAATCTATTAAAATTGATGTAAATCTGGAAAAACTCCACTGAAATTACGCTGATGGAAAAACCAGTGCCAGACCATAACTAAGCCTCGTGGGGAAAATCTAAAAGTCTGAAGTTCCTGGGAGTTTTATTATTGCACCAGTGGAGCAGGGATTTCTCCCTAACTGTTCCCCAAGCCGAGGGATAGTCAGCCTGTACTTTCTCTAATGTGTAAGGGATGGAAGAAATCAGAAGAGAGCATATAATAAATCAACTGACAGTCTCTGAAAAATAGCTGTCCTGTCTCCTTAATATGAGAGAGAGTAATGTTCTGAGGGCAGGAGGAATTCGGCTTTAGACAGAAAACATTCCCCTATAGGGGGACAAAAAGTGATCATTCTGTAGCTTAATCAATCTCAGGCCTCTCTTTGAGGGAAATAGCGTGTTGCCTGCAACAGCACGTGTAATAATGTTTGCTGAAATATAAACTACGTCTGTATACCCCAAGATGGAAGGTCAGAAGTCAACTGAGGATCTGGCCACAGATGTTCGGCAATAGAAATCAAAACGCAATATATCAAATTCAGTACTTTTCCTCGAGGAACAGGTTGCAGAAATTTCTCAACCCACCTCCTTCACAGTAAGTGCACTCACCCTGCATGTAACAAAGCTGTACATCACAAATTGCCAGGTTACTCAAAGACAAAGTTCACATTTCCTAATTTCTCTGTCCTGTGCTTGAGTATTTTAATATTTATACAGTTTGCTCTTATCCACAAACACAGCTCCCTTCAACCTCTGCAATGTTTTTCAAGTCCGTCCACCAAAGTGAAGAATCATATGACACCATTTAGTCCTCCCCCAGCCCTTAATATATGTTTCCTAAAGCTGACATTTGATATTATGGAATGTGTTGTAATCAATTCTTAAAGTTATAGCACCACTGGATTTTTATTAACTTGCACAACAACAACAACAAAAATCCAACAAAAAATGGGCCCTCATAACCAATCAGCCTTGTTATATCCTGAAAGCTGCTTTAACAAGCAGGGAGTAATATAGTGTAATTGGTACTCCGCAATTTAATTGTTCTGTTCTTAAACCTAATATTGCAGCTGTGGGTTAAGTTTACACCACAGCTTTCAAGAGAACATGAAAGTGTGGTACATCTGTGCAACAGAAAGCTAAACATCTCTCATCTGATGTGTTTACAATGACATTTGATAGCGTGGAATGGTTTGGAGTCCATTCTTAAAGCTGCAGAACCGCTTTTCAACGCTGCAAAAAAGGGAAAAAGTCTCCAATCTCCTTCAAACAACTCAGCCCACATAAACCTGATGATAATGCTGCTGCAGGCATTGCAGGGAAACTGCCGGCTGTAATAATTCCTTCAAGTATCCTTGAGCATTTGTCACTCGGGCAGTGGAAAAGGGGACAAGGACATCTTCCCCCTCAGATGACATAATCAATTATTTGAAAAACAAACCACTCAAAAAAGTCTGCAACTAGACAAGTAAAACAACCCCTGACATGCATAAAACAGACAAGAATATTTCAAGAAATGTTATTAAGTGGATGACTTTAGCACATTTAGGAATGGCGGAGTTTTCAATTTAACAGGTGGCAGAACTGCTTATGGTATCTTGAACTTCACATTCTGTATAACTAACAGCTTCAGCATTATGTACTTGTTAGTGAATTTATTAAGTCCATAAGTAGTTCAAGAAACTTAGGAATGGGCCCATAAATGTCATCTGCAGTTTGTGAACTGCAAGTATCTGACTGTTTTGATCAAGGTTTTTACGGGAAAGTTAAATGGTTATTAAAATTATTTACTACTGCTACA